GCCAGTCAGTCATATCAGTTATGTACAATCAATATTCTTCTCACCAGATGGAACTACTTTAGCAGCTGGTAGTGATGATAAGGCAATCAGAAATATTATTTCATAAAATATTTACATAATTTGTTGTATATCTTCTAGGAACTGAAAAATAATTTTTGCCAATTACACTCTTAAAAGATATAGTGATTAAAATTATTTATAACTTAAAGAAAGATAAATTGTAAGTTATTTAGTTGGAACATTGTGTAAAATAGTGTTGGAGAATTTAAATAAAAGATTAAACTCTTTTCTCTACTAAATTTACAAGAATAAGCCAAATGAAAATGAAGAAACCAAATTATAATTTTAATTAGGACACAAAATCATTTTTAAGGTAACCTTTTTTCATTGAATGACCCAGAAGAAAATTAAAGTAATGATGAAATTTATTTAAACCTTAAAAATGATTAAATTATAGGGGTTTAAAAATCAGATGAAAAGCTAGAAAAATTGCTGGATAAATTTGAAGAATTAAAATAATAAAACAATTTTAATTAGAATGTAAATTAGAATTTTTTAAATAAAAGGGGAACCCAGAGAAAAAAAATGTCAAATAATAAAAAGGGAAATATTATAGGGAGTTTTAATTAAAAATAAGGAGATTAGATTTCATCTAAGTATGATCTTCGTTATAAAAAAGATTATATTGTTGAATATAAACACCTAAAATAGATTATTTGTTCTTGGAGGGTGAAAAAGAAAAATTAAACTCCATAACACCTAATAATGTGGGTGAGAATATTTCAATTAAAGAAATGAAATTAGATGAAGATAAAGAAAAATTAAAACAATAAGAAGAAATTAGTGTGTGTAAGGATGTATTTTATTCTTAGAATTCAAGAATTAAATGCATTATTGTGTATTTAAGAAAGCTAAGAATCTAAGTTATTCAAATCTCATATTGAAAAGTAAATCGCTTGAATGTTCAAAAGTAATGGATATATTAAAAGAATCCTTTCATCATACTCAATCAATAAAAAATATGGAAGCAATCTTAGTTGTAAGTGGAACTGGGGTCAGCTATTGTGATAACTATATCATATGAAACATTTCTTGAGGAGTGATAGAATAATTAGAAATTTTATAGAAATTAATGTCATTTTAAATGATTTTTTCTTGTTGTTTCTAATTCAAAATAAACTTCCACACATTAATTTTTCTATTCTAAAAAATTATGTCTTCTGTTAACACAATATCTAATATTTATTTGCCCAAATTTTTTATTAGTATTAGGAGCTTTAGTAATAGATATATATAGACCTTTTAATCTATTCAATCTATTCATGTTATAATAAATTTTAGATAGAAAATAAATGGGATTAAGAAGAACAAATAAATAAGTTTAAGAAGACTCCTGGTTTGATAAAAATTGTTTTGTAAAGAAATTTTTTGTTGAGATATTTAACACGAATTTAGCAAATATATTCTTTTGGAAGTAGATACTTGGTAAAATCGTATCTTTAATGAATTTTTTCATAAGATTCCTAAATAGATAAGATAATCTAAAGAATGGATAACATTGAAAAGTCAAAATATCGAACAAAGATATCAAGATATTAAGAATTTGTCACTATATTTAAGATAAAAACAATTACGATGAATAGGATAATAAAAGATTGAATGATTTATTACTGTCTAATTGTAAAGAAAAAAGTATAAATGAATTAAACGATAATTTACTCAACGATAAACTTAAATAGTTAGAACAAGAACAAAGAAGCTAATGTTATATAAAGTAAAATAGCAACTATTTCACAAATTATTTTGCATTAATTAGGACCTAGGTTTTTGTTAATTAATATAATTATTGCTTAAGCTTTTTCAGTATTAAATTTAATATCATAATATAAGTTGAAATTAAAAATAGTATAAATTTTTTAAATTATTATCAATAATCGACTCTCAACTAATGTGAATAGATTACTTAGTTTGTATTTGTTTTGAAATAAACTTGTAGAACAAAAAGATGAACATTTGATAATGATAATAAATAATATACACAATAAATGACTGTTGAGTATTCAGATATCGCTTCATTCATATTTTGTTATATTTTCCATTTCAAAGAAACTATAATTGCTAGTATCCTCACAAAAGACTTTTCATATTTTATGATTTTTATGGATTAGATA